TCAACCCGATTCGACTCGACAACCCGTGCATTCCAGCCTCCCTACGAGTGCGTGATGCATGTCTTCCCTACTATTTCACTTGATTAGATGCAACTTGACTTGACTTTGGCTGAAAAATAGCTTATTCAACTCGAATCTCAGATTTTGGCATCGATTCATGCATTTTTTATCCTCTCAGAGCTGAATTTGACCTTATTAAAAGGTTTAAGGTTAGTATAATCCTTGTTTTCTCAGTTTAAATTAAATTAAGTTAGGAATTCGATTTTTACTAAGAAATTAAGTGAAGATTCAAAATAAGTGAAGCCTCGTCATAAGTAAAAACGAATTCAAGGGACGAAAACAAGCTAATTGGGAGTCAGATAGAACTTTAGCTAAGGTCATCCATGTAAGTGACCTTACTATCGATATGGTCGGGAGAATTATCTTATGTATGATGAAACGTGTCCAGTAGCCTTTACACATATCATGTGTTTCATATGATGTGTTATCATGATATGTTATGCTATGATGATATGATATGTTAATGATGCTATGATAAGTTATGATGATGTGTTATGCTATGATGACATGAGATGTATAACAATATGATACGTTATGATGATATGTCATGTTACGATGATATGTACATATGAGATGTCATGTTGCATATTGAGATGAATATGCTTGGCAATGAAATGTATGACATGATACGACATGTATGGCAATGAGTTTTTTGATGTACGATGGTCGTTGTACCTTTGGACGTTTGGTTACAGCCAACTAGCCCAGCAAGCAGGCCTAGGAGTTGTGCGAGCTCTCCTGGTGGGCTCACTCTCGCACATGTGGGTCGTGTGTAGGGAAATAATGCACACCCAATTTGTCCAGACCGGAGGCCACCTAAGAGACTATGGTTTTAAATGATTGGTCCCTATTCATGTTGCATGTATTTGCATTTTCTGACCTTAATAGTGGAACCAGTTATTGAGTACTTCTTAAAATACTCAAATCATGTGCTACTTTTACATTTCAGTAAATGCAAGGCACTCATGTATAGTTGGCTTTGACATTGCATCAAAGATCATGGAACCAACATAGGGTAGTTACATTTATTTTCATAGATTTTCGTAGATTTTAGATTAGTATAAGACATTACTCTTTTATTATTATTATCTTTTTTTTTTGTTTTATTTCAATTTACTTCGAATATTTCCTTGTGTTGTTTTATGGTCCTTTCGAGTATAAGTCCATGTCATTGTTTTATAAACCACATAAAAAAGTTACGTCAGCCATGTAGTAACAACTCTAGGTTAGTAGAAAACTAGGGTTGCTACACTAGCTTCCTAAACTTCGACTTTGTAACTCACTCAAGCACAAATCAGCAATCCAAATACTAACTTCCTAAACTCCGACTTCAAAACTCAATGCCTCAAACACGAACCTAATAATTCCACCAACTTATTAACTCATTTCATAATCCCAAATTAAGTATTTGAAAACAATATTTGATGTTACATTTTTTAACGGTAAATAGTTCTTAAATATGAGATTATTTAAGAGATCATATTTCGATTATTTTTAACAGAAAAAAAATGTTAGAATCGCACAACAACGCACACACTCGATACACTCGATCTAGATGAATACAAAGATCTAGATGAATACAAAGAACAGGATAGAGAAAATGCAAGGAGAATATTGACTAAAGGATTTGTATTGATGACTTCGTATGTAGAGTAACATAATACAGAAACTACCTTTTCAAAGCTCTGATATATATATATATATGGTTTAGTTTACTATATATAGCTTTACCAGATATAATCATCTACTATATATAACTATCTACCATATATAACTTTACCAGATATAGCTTTTTACTATACATAGCTATTTATATGACATTTTACTTTATATGCAATCTACCTAGTATAATCGTTGACTAAACTCCATAGCCTAACAATTCTCTCACCTGGAGACTGAACTAGTCAACCAAGAATTTCATTCTCAAACGACCATGAGCATCTTCATGTCACCATATCAATTGAAGCTTTGCACAACCTCACATTTTGTCAACATGTTTGCTAGATTCTTTACACCCTCTATCTTCCCCCAACACATCACCATCTTTCACTAACCTGCAAGTGAAATGGTATCATCTTTTGTATTTTCTCTTTAAATGATAGATCGGGTTCCTCACCAACTATATGACACTCTGACTATCTCTATAAAGAATCTCTTCGTGCTGCTTCTTGCCCAATTCTTCCCGATAGTCAGTCATCCATATCGTCTTCTTTCCAACTTCAGCTATTGCCACATGCTCAACCTCAATACAACGCATTTTTGAAGCCTAGACATCCTATCATCCATGGCTTGCTCCCATTTGGTTGTATCCTCCAACTGTAGGGCCTCATTAAAGGGCTCTAGTTCCCTTTCATCAGCAACAGATAGTGTAATGAAGGTACATACATATCTGGTACTCTGATAGTACTGGATGATCTTCTCAACACCGGTTCAGGTGTCACTTGCTCTACTGTTGGTTCCTCTGCAACAACCTCAGGAGTTTTTTGAGTATCTGCTACAAGATCACTAGGTGATTTTCTCCGTAACTCAACCTCAACTCCTACTTACTTCTTGTCTTGGAACCTTGCTCCACATCTTGTTCCTTAGCAGTAGTCTCAGGAATTTCATGAGTATCTACCACAATATCACTAGGTGAGTTTCCCTACAACTAAAGCTCAACTTCCAGTTGCTTCGTAGTTTTGGAACCTTGCTCCACCTCTGGTTTCTCAGCAATAGTCTCAAGAGTTTCATGAGTATCTACTACAATGTCACTAGGTGAGTTTTCCTACAACTCAAGCTCAACTCCCACTTGCTTCGTTGTCTTCGAACCTTGCTCCACATCTGGTTCCATTTCCAACCACACTTTCTTCAATTCTCTGACAGTCCTTGTGAAGCTAAATCGTTTCTGCTTGCTCACAACGATCAACATCAAAAGATTTCAGACCTTCTAAAACTCCTTTCGCAGCCAACGTCTTCATTCCTTTCACGCTCATATGTCCAAGTCTATTGTGCCATAGACTTGAATTTGAAGCACTCTCAGCAATTGCAGCTATGTTCATACACCCTGCAGTGGTGTATAAGGTTCCAGATTTTGAGCCACGTGTTACCACAGTAGCACCTTTCATAATCTTCCATGAACTCTTCCCTAACTTTGTTGCATAACCTGTGCTGTCCAACTGACCAATAGAGATCAGGTTCTTCTTGAGACCGGGAATATATTTGACATCCTTTAATATCCACTGATTTCCTGCCAGAGTTTTTATGCAGACATCCCCTTTTCCTTCAATCTCAAAATCTTTCTTGTCGACAAGATATACCTTCTCGAAATTTTCAGATTTGAAATTCTGAAACAACTATTTATTTGGAGACGAATGAAAAGATGCACCTAAACCCAAAATTCAGGATTCAATCGAATTAACCACGCTGAGAATTAAAGCATCCCCAATATCTTCTACTGAATTTATAGAATCATCTCTCCAGATTTGTGATTCTGCTTCCTCTTTGGTCTTGTACAATCTGTCCGAAAGTGACCTTTTTTTCCAAAATTCCAACACGTTACATTTGGTCTATTTGAAAATTTTTCTCGGTTCTTTGATTTTGATCGCCCTTTGTTTGGGTCCTTCGGTTTACTTCATTCCCGTTGGTCAACACTGAGAGCACTACCAGATTAATTTTCAGTTTCTCATTTGTGAATACTTTCGCTGAGAACTACATCTCAAATTTCATCAAACTTCAGTTTATTAGATCCTCGAGAACTGTCGATTGCGGCAACAATAGTATCCCACGACTCGGGTAAAGATGACATCAAAATCAACGCTTTAATTTCATCCTCGAAATTAATTTCCACAGAATTCAGTTGACTTACGATCATATTGAATTTATTAATATGATCAACAACAGATCCACCTTCAAACATCTGTAGATTGAACAATCTTCGTATCAAATACACCGTGTTCATAGCCGACGGTTTTTCGTACATATTTGACAGCGCATTCAATAGATCTGACGTTGTCTTCTCCTTGATGATATTGAACGCCACGTTTCTGGATAGCGTCAACCGGATCAACCCTAAGGCTTGTCGATCCTTGAGCTTCCACTATTTCGTGGTCATGGTATCCGGCTTCACCCCCAACAGGGGTTCGTGAAGATCTTTCTGGTATAGATAATCTCCAATCTACATCTTCCAGAAACCGAAATCAGATCCATCGAACTTCTCAATTCCAATCTTTGAACTTTCCATCTTCACAGATCGTGGTGAATTTCGCTTAGCTCTGATACTAGTTGTTAGGATCGCACAACAACGCACACACGCGATCTAGATGAATACAAAGAACAGTATAGAGAAAATGCAAGGAGAGGAGATATATATATGGTTTAGCTTACTATATATAGCATTACCAGATATAACCATCTACTATATATATAACTAACTGTCTATCCTATATAGTTTTATCATCTACCCTTTATATATAACTATCTACCCTAAATAGTTTTACCATCTACCCTATATATATATAACTATCTACCCTATATAGTTTTACCAGCTTTTACCTACATAGCTATTTATTATTGATGATATTTTATTTTATATGTCATTTACCAAATATAACGATGTATATACGTCATTTACCAAATATAGCTATGTATAATAGTTTCACCAACCAGTAAATAAACACCTCCATACCCTAACACATGCTTAAAAAAAAAAAAAAAATTTAATTAGGTTAAATTAATCTAAAAAAGACTCCAAAAATTTGCATTTATGTTTGAAATGTTCTAAAATTTCAAATTTTAAAAAATAAAATAAAAAACCCTTTTAGGTTATTTTTTAATAAAATACATTAATATTTAGTTTGAATTTTCAAACTTTTATCATTACCTTATAAAAAATTACAAGAAAAAAGAATTGAACTTTTAATTATCTCATAAAAAATTTAGTTTATATTCTTAAATAAATAAAATTGAAATATTGGAATCAGCTAAGTGTATCCAAAACCGGAAATCCAAGAGATATGTACTGTCTCCACACATCAATCATCCCTTACAAAACCATACAACATTCCATTTCTTATAAACATCATATCATTTCATACACTCCTACTGCTTGAACCATTAGGACTATTAGGCCATCTCCCAAATGTGCAAGCCATCAAGCTCCTCCCACTCAGCCCGCTCAACGTCGTCTTCAAAATCGTCAACCACCGGTCCCCGACAACCGGAGCTTCACCCCCGGTCTCCACCAGCCTCGTCTCCGGGACAGCGACCTCCTGACCACTCCCGGCATCGCTACTACTAGCGTCCAAGTGATCGATCTCCTCGACGTCCCAATTCACACTCAATGACGTCCTCTTCTCCACAAGCCACTCCTTGATCTCACCAGTCACTCCTCTGCACTTCTTCACCTTAATCTTAGCCAAATTGGGACACCCCCAAGCTAGTGATTCAATCCCAATGTTTGAAATTGGGCAGCCTTTGATGCAAAGCTTCTTCAATGACTTGCATTTGGCTGCAATGCAGGCAATCTCTTCATCGCCTACTCTACTCCCACACAGAGCCAATCTCTCCAGATTCACACAGTTTGAAGCCAACAGTGACAGAGACAAACAAGTTGGGTTTACACCAATTAGAACAAGCTCTTGTAAGTCAAGGCATTGTTTAGCTATGGCTATCAGCCCCTCATCTCCTATTCTATTGATTCTCCACCCATCAATGTGGAGCTTCCTTAATCTCTTACAGTGTTCAGCAATAGAAGCAAGCCCAAAATTTGAACAATCCCAAACTTTGATAAGATGCAATATCTCTAAGTTTAAACAGTTAGAAATGGCTGAAACTCCACAATCACTCACCTGGATCCTCTCGATATGAACTTCGATCAAGCTGGCCATGGCATTTCCATGGCCAAAGAACTGGAAGAGTTCATCCCAATTCCCCTGGCAGCGGATGATCTTCAAAGCTTTGAGGTTTTTAGAACCCATTATAAGGGGAGTTAAGCTCAACCCATCAACGAGATCCTTCAGCAGAATCGATTTCAGAGATGCCGCTGCTACGCCGGGCACGATCGGCTCTGTTCCAGCGATGACGCCGCGGAGACCCTTCAAAGACAATTCCTCGAGAGTGCTGCTGTTCTTGAGGAGGGCGTTAATGGAATTCGCCCCTAAAGCACATGAGCTACAGGAAAATTTCTTAAGAGTTTTGCAATTGGAAGCAAAAGTGGCGATACCCATATCCGTGAGTTGAAATCGGCCGGAGAGTTTGATGCGGGTCAAACTCCGGCAACGGATTGAGACAAGAATCAAGGCGTCGTCGTTGATTCGAGAGATTTTCCGGTTGCATCGAAGAGAGAGCTTCTTAACGGAGTCAAATCGAGCAAATAGAGAGGGAAGAAATGGGAGAATCTCATCTTGAGCATTAAGAGACAAACGATGTCGGCTCTCACCCTCCACCTGAAACCACCGCTTACATACCAACGAACAGCTTTTCCGGTCGCCGGAGTTGAGAAATCGAAAAATGGAGGCCAAACATTCATCAGGAAGAGGAAAAGTAAAGTCCACGAAATTCAACAAACCCTCATCCATCGAGGGAAGGACCAAAGGGGAAGAAGAGAGTGCACCCACTTGAGAACCAGGCGGCCATTGTTGATGGTCACGAAGCTGTAGAGAGGTTTCCGGCGAGGAATAGAATTGACCCATCAGAGAATAGGGTTTGTAAACAGTGAAGAAGGAGAAGATTACACAGAAGAAGGGAAGATAAAGAAGGGATTTAGATTTTTGGGTATTGTGGGAAAGAGAAAAATATAAAGGGGAAAGTGGGGTTGGATTAGGAAGTAGCGGTGGCGATGCCCCGTCAAAAGGGAATGCGTGTCCTGTGGCCTTCGATTAGGCGCCGAGAAGCAAAAGTCACAAACAAAAACTAATGGAAGTGAGGAATCTGAGCGGACCAATTAAAAGAGGAGAAAAAAGAGGGCAAAGTGAGAACGAGGACTTGGTCTTGCAAAGACGCCTTTGCTTACTTAGACCATTGACAAAAACATATTAATAACAACTTTCTGAATCTTCCCATGGATTTAAGTCTTTCATTTTCTGATTTATTATATGTCTACCACACAACTATTGAATTCAAAATTTTATTCCTCCCAAGTACCGAGTCCGATCTCTTTTTTGTTTTGAGCGTTTATATATAAAAGACGAATCGAAAAGAAAAAATGAACCCAAAGAATCTTTAATGCTAATAACAAGCTAGAAATGAGCCTAAACGATGTATGTCATCTCTAGCTCTAAAATTTGGCGACCTAAGTATCTTAAAAAGGTGCCTAATAATACCATTAGATGACAAAAGTAAGATAGCTAGAAATGAACCTAAAACACTTCGGCCACTCTTTAAACCTAAGTTCTCGGTAAATAGTGTTGAAGTGCATTTTAGATTAGGGCTAAACGACATGATTTTAAATTAGGTAAATTTTATCATATTTTTAGAATGATCGTGGACAAGGTTCTATTGGAAAATATTATATATAATTATAATTTTTTTTTTATATTTTCGGGATTTGGGTAACAATATATTTAATAAATTTTATTTTATTTTTAGGATTTGGTTATTACACTATTTTCTCTTATTTTTAGGATTTAGTTTGTAGTTTGTATTATATATGAATATTAATGAAAATTGGACTTTCAATCTCACCTATGTTTCTTATTCTTAACGTGTATTAAGCTTTTCATTCTTAACATGGTATCAAAACAAGAGAATAGGAAGAATAGAAGAACAGTGACAGAGATCGAAACAGAGGACGACAGATGAATTTGGATCACCTTCCACTAGATATATGATCCTTTTAAGCACACATCTCAAAAGTTTTAATTTTTGGAGCATACAACTCAATCTTTTTCCTCTCAACAATAAAATCAACAATGTGATTCTTAGAGTAGCCCATGCCCACAAACCTATCGTAGTATTTTTAAATATAAAAAAAAAAAAAATCTTATGGAATCAGCCCAATCCAGCTTCAAAATTTTGGAGGTTGATTTAACACATCCTTATTATATTCACCCTTCCACTCGAATATTCATTTTGTTCCAATAAATTAAATGGGACAAATTATCAATTGTGGAGTAAATCATTTATGCATGAACGAAGGAGTTATCAATTAGATATTTACTATGTTCCAATCAAATTAAATGAGACAAATTACCAACTCTAGAGTAAATCATTTATGAATGGAGGAGCACCTCTTCAAGTTTTGAGATATATCGAATCAGGTCTATTTCTGAATTCTTCATTTTTTTTCTTAGGAAATCCAATAATTTATTGTCTATTTAGGTGTTTTTGCATATTTCTAATAAATTCAATAATTTCTTGAAAGTCTAAAAAGCAAACAACATGTACATATCATTTGGATTTTGCATCTTATGTGTAAATTCAATCCCTAGCAGTGAACCAATATTTTTCACATTGTCCTTGTAGACCACTAGTTTGAACTAACATAAAGTTGCATCTCAGAAATTTAAGATACGTAGGTATATGATACAAGGTATACTAAAGAACTAATCAATTCACCCTAAGATCCTATAGAAAATCTTACCCTAATTGATGATGCACTTTGAAGAGTCGAATGATGAGACATCATAACATGTTGAGAGCCCCGACTGAACTAGACCATAAAAAAGTATGAAACTAGATTCAATGTAACAGTAAAGTAAAGACCTAGATAGGGTCTAATACATTAGAAACAATGAATTAGAGGGTTCAAAACTTCCATGATTTTGTTTAAGTGCAAAACCTAGTGGTTATCCTCCAATAGCCCACACCCAAATATGAGGTATTTAGCCCACTGATAAAGATTGATTTAGAAATCTATAAATAGGTTACTTACTCATCATTTTTATATTCACTCATGATACTTTTTCTTATAAAATAGAACTTGAATCAATGATCAATGATGGGGTGTTCTAAAGTTGCACAACTTAAGGGTAGTAGATCTGGATTGTACATTTATTTTTCAATGTATTTTAGTTATGTATATGTCAATGGTGGGGTGTTCTAAAATTATCATAATCTTTTATTTTGGGCTAGTTTTATAGAATTTCATGATTCAAGTCACTAAAAAAAAATCATTAAAATAAATGTTTTGAGTCATGTTGATAAGTCATGAGATAGTGATGTGTAGTGTGTGACTTGGATCTATTGGCTAATGGTAGATTATGGCGAGGAGATCAAGATAACATGTGCATGTAAAAGGACGACACACTAGTATTTAATGGGCGATCAATGGACTCGACCGCGATTGAAGCATTGATCGAGTTGATGGAGACCATGTTTGAGTTTCATGGGTCGATCACCTAACTTCAACTCAAAGAATTCTTCTATCACAAGTATTACCTATGATGGTGTTAATATAACACATGCGGAAGCAATTTGGATCTTAGGCACTTTTAGAACATCAATTATTGTAAATAACTAGCATGTTCATAAGTATTAAAACTTAATGAGTTTAAATACTAACCTTTTGTAGTTCAAACTCCTTTTGGCTCACGAACCGGTTTCGAACCACCATTAGTGTCTTCTCCACTATCCTCTGGTCTAAGAACGGGATTGTGGAATCCGGTGAGTGACTAAACTTGGGAGAGATTTTGTATAAGTGAGGTTTTTCACCAAGATGAAGAAGACCTTCCATGTATCATGATCACTCTATTTAAAGAGTCATGTTTGCATGTTCATGCAAATTTGAGATCACCAAATTTTAACACTTAAAATTCCACTCAAATGTTTGGGTTTATGTGACAAGCATGCATGTTTGAGTTAACCAAATTTTGACACTCAAAATTCCACTCAAACTTGTGAGGTTTATTTGACAAACATGCAAGTCTGGTTAAACCAAATTTTGACACCTCAAAATTCCATTAACATGGATTTTTTCATTAGATGAAAGTCAACATTTTGACTTTCTCCATTTTAATTCAACAATTAATTTGAATAATGAATTTCAAATTAAAGTAACATTAAATGATTAATTAAACTATTTAATTAATATTTAATATTAATTCAAATGTCAATCCCAATCAATTCCGACACATAATTGATTAAGATATTTAAATCTTATTTAAATATCTCTGATTCTCTCTTTTTGTTTAATTCGTAAATAAAACAAAATTGCGGTTAAATATATCGTATATATGTAACGTATATTCCCTAATTTGAATTCGAACACTTCGAACTCACTCGTCACACTATTATATGGTTTAGTCCGATATGAGCTAACAAAGGGGCCTAATGGACCTATAGATCATGGGCTCCAACGATCCAAGATTAACCGGTTTAAACTCATTAACCTGGTTAACCAACATTCGTTAACTACTAGGACACTCCACTATAGCCTAGTAGTTGCACTCCCCTCACTAAAGATATATTTCTGTCCATCTGATATAACCATGATTAGTAAGTCGATCCTTCACAGGTTGTTCGTAACTAGAGCTGGGTCAATTTACCGTTTTACCCCTGAAGTTACTTCTTGTTCCTTATGTCTCACTGATCCTCTAATGAACAATTGGTTTGTGGTCCAACCAGTAAACCGAATCCCTCTCAGGCCAATGAGAGGGTGGGGCCCCTTGTTCAAGATCTGGAGTCAGTGCTTAAGGGAACTACCTTTCTTCTATCCCTAAAAGTGGGTAGGAGTGAATTCCGTCTTGCACCCCACGTCCCCAGCCATTCACCCAGTCTTACCCCTGAAATGGGAGGCTTGTTGAGTCGGCGAACTAGAGCCACTCTCACCCATGCAAATCTAAGGATAATTCCGAATAAACAGGAGTTCATGGTTAGCTCAGGATTAAAACCGAGTTACCTAGGTTATCGAATGAAAAGAAAATCAGTCTCAACAGTAAACGACATTATAAAGTGTGAGTGGTTTTCTTCATGGTCCGATTTTATGCAATACTCATTGCATAAGACGTCCCCACTCACATGTCTCCACATGTACAATTTAGTGATCACATTGTTTATATCATATACAAAAGTGGGCCGCATCCATAGTGTCCCCAGAATAAGGTACTCAACCTTATCCTTATACTATAGATCATTTTGACTATATACTTGAACTTGATCCCCTCTTATGTCTCTATATATAGTTCAAGTAATCATACTATAGCCAGAGTGTTCTTAGTTTATTGGATTTAGATTAATGATCGTAAAGTTCACTTTATTCAATAACAATTTTTACTGAATAAACATCAATAATAACTTTATTGAAAATAAAATATATCTTTGTTTACAAACTATGAGTTTTAGGACATAAAACCCAACAACCTCATCATGACTTAGTACCAAAATTAGACTACCATTCCGAACTTGAGGCAAGGGGACAAGACAATGGAAGAATATGACCTCAAGTTTACCTCATTGTCTCGATTCGCCTCTAAGGCTAATATATACGTATGCGAAGAGGACTTATTGATTCATCATGCTACTAAGAGGGGAGATTCAAGGAATGGTGGCAACAATAACGCTAATCGATTATGTTGCAGCCCTTCAAGCGATCGACGTAATGGAAGTGTGTATCCAACAAGCACTTGGAGAGTCTAGATGACAAGGAAGCTCTAAGAACAAGAGGAAGTTCAACTGACCTTTCCACATATCTTCATAGTTAGCGTGGCTGGGACATATTGATAGGCAACCAACCCAAAACCATGCAATGTGAAGAGACATGACAACTAGTGTATGGTCAGATCAAGTGCTTGTTTTGGTTGCAGAGAGATGGTCAGAGTAGCAGATAGTCGACACAAGAAGAACAAAAAATTCAACCGACCCTTATGTCAAATTAAAGGAACCAAGAGGGGATATGCGTAGCGTAGGAAAATGACACACTCCACATGACCAAGAGGGTGGAGGATTCCGACACCATTGTG